GCAGGAGAGCTTTATCTTGGCTTACAGTTTGCAGAGGTTTCAGTCCATAACCCAGTGGCTCCAGGGCAGGGTGTCCAGGAAGGGGGGGTGCACTCTTCCCAGGCCACGCCTTCCGTGACCCTGCGACACCGACATCGGCAGGATCCAGTCTCCTCCCAGAGCTCCCGGAACTTTGGGGGCATCCAGAGGGGAACCTGGACAGTGTGCGTTCAGTGTCCACTGTGTTTCTAACACTGCCCCCGATTCACAGCCCATGGCAGCAGCCGGAGCTCGGGTGGGGAGGACCGCAGCTGCTGGCGCTCTGAGCTGCAGGAGTGCCCCGGCTCTCCACTTGTCCCCAAAGTGGGCCCACAGAGTGAGGCCCTGAATGCAGAGGACCACAGGAGTGTGCAATGCTATTTCTGGCTCCGTGTGATGTGAGGTTTATATCCGAGCTAACACTTTTCCATATCTATCTGTCACTTTTGAAAATTTTGCTCAAAGTTGCTTCCTGTAGGCTTGGCCTGGGAAAGACCCCGGGGAGGGGCAGTTTCTCTCCGCCGAAGCCTGGAAGATGCTGGCCGCGCCCCCTGGTGGCGGGGACGAGAATGAGGTGTTTGGCCTTCCTGACCCTGTGCTAGGCCTTGACTTCCCCACCTGCAGCCCTGATTTCCAGCAGCCTCAGATGTAGGTGTCCAGGTGTATGTGTGTGTGTGTGTGTGTGTGTGTGATGCTCAGTAAAGGCAGGTGAAAAATTCTGGACCGCTGGTGGTCCTTTGAAGAAATTGTAGCACGGCGAAGAATGACCCTTATCAGCCTACTCTGCTTTTAAATGTATTATTATCGTCATTATTTCTGATAGATTCATATCTATCATATGGAGGAAGCATATGGAGGTGGTGAATGGTAGCTTGGGTTGGCGTTTGGGTAAAGAAATCCTTGGGAGTTGACATTTAAAAAAACCACTGTGGTGGAAAACACAACGTAAGATTTGCCATCTTAACTTTTTTGTTTTTTGTACCAGCGATCAAACTTGGGTCCTTATGCTTTCAAGGCAGGCAGCAGAACCACTGAGCTGAATCCCCAGCTCTGCTGTCTTAATTTTTAAGTATGCAGTCGGTAGTGTTAGTTATATACAGCAGGTCTCTGGAGCTTCTCCTACACAGCAGAAACTTCACTTTGCTGTGTTGAAAGAGGCTTCGGGGCGCAGGAAGGAGCGAGGCTTCAGAAAAGAGGCTGATGTAGCCTCTCCTGTCTCCCGGGACCCTGAGTTGAGGGCCTCGCCTGTGAGAAGCCCAGTGGGCAGCGTCTGCCACCTGGCGGCGAGAGAGAGTCATAACCCTAGCCGGGAACCGGAGGGGGCCTTAGCGTCAGGCCCGTGAACAGCGGGACTTTCCAGCTGTTTTTGCCTTTATCTGGGACGATTTTTGTCACCTTCACTGTATATTTGGACTAGTATTTATGGCAGGGCATAATTATTCACTTGCTTGCATGATAATCAAGCGAGTTCAGGGAGTAATAAGGTTTTCTCCCTCAGGGCTTGACAAGGTGACAGCTTAGCGTTTGTTTCTATTTTTGCAAAGATCTTTTTGGTTTGTGTCTTATACACAGTGACCACTTTGAAGATAATGATACAGTGTAATAACTCTTTACTATCATATTATTTGGTTATGAAAATGTTTTACTTTTTCATAAAATAAAGAGATCAACAATTGAATGCATCTTGTGGCACACATTTTTTTCCCCAAGTTTTAATCAGAAGTGGAAACAATGAAGGCCCTGGGTTCGGTCCCTGGAATGCCCTCATGCGTGTCAGTGTGCGCACACACACACAGTGGAAGCAGACCAAGTGCTCATCGGTAGGAGAACGGATAAATTGAGCAGGAATAAAAAGGATCGAGTAGTGCCACACACAGCACAGTGGGTGACTCTCATAAGCACCGGGGAAAGTGTCACCGGCCTCTTGGGTTTGTATGTTCAGGTTCTTTTGCTCGCTGCTGATCAAATCAAAGGGAGCCAGATATTCAGGTATAAAGAAAAAAGGATTGATTCAAAGCTGGCTCTGAGGAGACAGAGGGGCCTTTGCACCTCAGATCACCGTTTCGCTGTGTGTGGGTGGGCGAGGGTCTTTTCTAGTAAGGAGCAGAGTGAAGCAGGGTTCAGGGAGATGATGCAACCCCCACACTTGCGTTACAGCTGTCGCTCATCTGTGGTCTGTCCGTTCCTCCTCTATGGGAAGTAACCAGCTCCATCCCGTCACGTCTTCTGGCTGAGGGAGGAAGTGCGCCCTGGGATCCTACTCTGGGGGCAGTTTCTTCTGAAGCCCTTATTCATGTTTTCCCAACCCGACCCCCATTCCTGGAAGCTCAGTCTCTACACTCATGGGGCTCTGCAGCCCAGGAAGAAGGAAAGGGGTGGCTGCCCTTTGAATGCCTGCAGGGAAAATGTCTCACTTGCTCTGAAAGTTAGTTTTTCTTTCTTTTCTTTCTTTTTTTTTTTTTGAGACAGGGTTTCACTAGGTAGTTGAGACACACCTGGAACTCACTATGTAGCCCATGCTGGTCTCGAACTCACAGTGATCCTCCTGCCTCAGCCTCCTGAGTGATGGGATTACAGGCATGCACCACCACGCCTGGCCTGAAAGTTACTCTTTTTTGCACTTTAGGTTATGAGAAATCTTAGGATCACAGGTCACTGGATAGGCTGATTATTACTTGAGCAACCCACTTTAATTTTAGAGGAAAAAACTGGAAGATTCCAGCCTGGTGTAGTGGTACACATCTGGAATCCCAGCACCTGAGAGGCCACGGCAGGAGGATTGTAAGTTGGAAGCCAGTGTGGGCTGCGTAGTAAGCCTCAGCCTCAAAATAAAACAAAAAACAAAAATGTGGAAAGATTCTTGGAATGGGATCTTGGATATCAGGGTAAGGGCTGGGCTGGGTGTCTCACAAGGGTCCTGGGCCAGGGTCTGGGGCAGCTCAGGTCTGGGCTTCTCATCTGTGGCACTGGTGACCCCAGGGCTGGTGGGACGTGCACCGAACACGCAGTGTTTGGGGCCATTTTGCAAGCACCCAGGGAACTGTGATTCCCACTGGCTCTGTGGTGCAGCTGCCCCTGTGTCCCAAAGCAGATGTGTGAGCTCTGGGAGATAAGCTGGGATTTTAGTAATTTGAGAAAAAACTGCTCATGCCTCTGAATCCAAACCGACATACATAGAAAGAACACTGTCTCGGCAAGTTGGTTCCGGTCCCTCCTGTGTCACCAGGCCAGGGGCTCTCTGTGGAGGGCTGGTAAACATCACCTGAGCCGCAGGGGCTTCTGCCTGGGTGGCTGGGGTGCACAGGTGAGTAGGAGGACAGCAGGGACTTCAGCTCCTGCCCTGTCACTGAGGACTGCTTTCCAGTAGGCTGGGTGTGAACCCCAGATCCTCCTGACCCACAGGCCGGGCCACATCCATTGGGTCTGGTTGTCACAATGGTGCCACCATGTGGATGGACGGCCCCCCTGCCCGGGCCAGGCGAGGGGTGCTCTGAGCACCAGGGTAGGAGTGGCTGGTTTTGCCAACAGAACTTCTTTCTTAGGCTCTGTGTCAGTTCGGATTCACCAGAGAAACATATTTAGTATAAAATATGCATGATTATGTAAAGGATCTGCTAAGCAAGTCCACAACTCTGCCTGTGGTGACACCCACCTGCGGGGACAGTGAGGGGACAGGAGGGTTGGCGGCCAGAGCTCACGGCCTGGGGGTGTGGGTCCACGTTGGGAGGCTGAGGGTCCGAGGGGTGTCTGGAAGACCGAAGGAACTGGTGACGACGCTGGGAAGGCAGTGGCAAAGACTGGAGCCTCCTCCTCCTCTCCTTTTTATTTCACCCAGGCCGCAAGCCCATTCACTGGTGCCACCCACATCCCGCGCGAGCCTTCCCTCCTCAGTTCGTGACTTGCCATCCAGACACACCCAAAGCTGTGGTCATCTGCTCAGTGGTGCTCGCCCAAGTTAAGCTGACTGCACTATCATGTGAATGGATAAAGAAAACGTGGCATTTATACACAACGGATCAGTACCCTGCCGTAAGGAAGGATCAGCAGGAGTCGTCTGTAGGAAAACGATCCACCTTGAGACCCTAATGCTAAGTGAAACAAATCACACACACAAACTGAAATATCGCAGGATTTCTCTTATATGAGCAAAGTATAAGCAAGGAATAAAATAAAAGATAGATAATTTCTATTATCTATTAGATAACAGGGAGAAAATAGATAACTCCCTCCCCCCTCCCGTCC